ATGGCCTCACTCACACGCTCACTACTTCACGTGTATACACAATCTTACTGTGAGCCTCAGGTATTGTACTGATGAGAGGGGTTCCACTCATTGTATGGCCTCACTCACACGCTCACTACTTCACGTGTATACACAATCTTACTGTGAGCCTCAGGTATTGTACTGATGAGAGGGGTTCCACTCATTGTATGGCCTCACTCACACGCTCACTACTTCACGTGTATACACAATCTTACTGTGAGCCTCAGGTATTGTACTGATGAGAGGGGTTCCACTCATTGTATGGCCTCACTCACACGCTCACTACTTCACGTGTATACACAATCTTACTGTGAGCCTCAGGTATTGTACTGATGAGAGGGGTTCCACTCATTGTATGGCCTCACTCACACGCTCACTACTTCACGTGTATACACAATCTTACTGTGAGCCTCAGGTATTGTACTGATGAGAGGGGTTCCACTCATTGTATGGCCTCACTCACACGCTCACTACTTCACGTGTATACACAATCTTACTGTGAGCCTCAGGTATTGTACTGATGAGAGGGGTTCCACTCATTGTATGGCCTCACTCACACGCTCACTACTTCACGTGTATACACAATCTTACTGTGAGCCTCAGGTATTGTACTGATGAGAGGGTTCCACTCATTGTATGGCCTCACTCACACGCTCACTACTTCACGTGTATACACAATCTTACTGTGAGCCTCAGGTATTGTACTGATGAGAGGGGTTCCACTCACTGTATGGCCTCACTCACACGCTCACTACTTCACATGTATACACAATCTTACTGTGAGCCTCAGGAAACTTATTGTGGACAACTTCATCCCTCCGGAGGTGGTTGAACAGGTCAAAGGTCGAGCCTCTTTGGACGAGACTCACAGATGAGTGGAGTCTGCGTGCATCAGACATTAGGTATGATCAGACTCTCGACCTCTCTCAGTCAGTGTGTGAGGTATGTCGCTGTGGGTCCACAGGTCAGGTACTCGTGTCCCCAGACCAGTCTCACGAGCTGGGAGTCTGAGACCCACGTCAGGCTGTGCCAGGATGGTAGCTGCTTCTGGGAACCCAAGATACCTGGTTTGTGGACCATTTCTATCAGTTAACCTCACACACACACTCTCTCTCTTCTTGAAGGCTGAAAACATATTGCGTGTGGAGTTGGACATGCCCAACAGGACCACCAGAGACTACGAGTGTCCATCTGTTGCCCCAAGTCTCAGAGCCGCCCTCAGTCGTGCCATGGCAGAGGAGGAGGGAATGACAGTCGATGCTGGGTGAGGGGAGGAACTGTATAAACTCACACACAGTGTTTTGACTAATACTTCTCTCACTCTGCAGGTCCTTCACTCTCTCTCAGAAGCCGCGTCTCCCACGAACAAAGACAAGGTAGTCTACTGCAGTGGAGCTGTTGTCACCTCAACTCCTCTTCCTCCTCTTCCTCAGGTTACGTCAGAGCTCAGAGCCCGCTGCCACACCCACTACCCACTTCCCCACTCGCAGAGGACTAGTTACTCCATCTGTCTGACTCTCTCACATTCTCTATCATCACCTAACATCCCATAATCAGAGATTTAAAAAAGTTGCATGTTCAGCCTATCACGAGGGTACTGCAGGCACAATGTTTATTAAGCAAATATATTTGCACGCTCATCAACTGTTCTATTAAAAATTCATAAAAATAATGATGAGTGGATGTTAACAACACAGCAATCTATTGGAAGTCCATGAACTGAAGGTTGGTCCTAATTAGTATCTTGCGAGGCAGAGGGTGAGGGGCAGGAGATAGGACTGTGAGTGTCTTAGCCTCCATATCCACATCAGTGCTGTAAGGGTCATAGTAACCATTACATCATCACGACATCACTACTCACATGCAGAGGGAATCCGGCGGAGGGGGTAGAGGCCACATCTTCCTCAGTGGAGTTGGCCATACTGAGACTGACTATTGTGTGACTCAACTGTTTGGCTGGAGACAGAGGGAGTGAGGGAGGAACAGGGAGGGATCCTAGCTAGAGTTGCTCACTGGGCTCCTCGTGGACCAGGAGGACACTGCCGTCCACTTTCTCCATCCCCAGAGGCAAGGCTGACTGGGGAACTGCAGGAGCTGAAATGAACAAAAAATGCTGCCGCCTGTGCTGTGTAACCATCACTTGAAGACAGAGAGAGGAGAGAGAGAAAATAAAACAGTACTGAGCCGACCTCCAATCTTGCAGATCTGAATGTCAGAGAAGGCCACCTCAAAGGAGAAAGGGGAGAGGAGGTGTGGTCTCTTGCCGTAGAAGTATTCCCTCACGGCGTCCTCTCTGTTCCTCCGTCTGAACTCCCTCGTCCTCGCCACCACCTAATGGGAGGGAGCCCCTCCCTCTGGCTCCTCTGACGAGGTGTATGAGTAACTCACTCCTCCCGACTTGGGCAGAGGAACTATCTCCGTTGTCTTGGGGAGGTCTCGCTGGAGGTCAAGGGTCAGACGCTCGTGATCCAACACCAAAACCACGTCCACTGGGAGTGAATGAAGGAAACAAAAAGCTGTAATGCTTTAAGACGGACACGTTTCATACACTAATTCTGTGTGTGTGGATCACTTTTGTAATGCACAGGTACTTGCCACAGTTTCCCCCACTTTCTGTGTCTTACCTTCAAAGGCCTCTGCAACATGGACGAGAGCATTGTACCCTTGACCTTCGACCCACCCACATGTGTTGATGACACACCCACCACTCTTGGCTGCAGGGAACGAGTCACAGTAATTACAGGGTCAACCCCTACTGACGAGGTCTCACTTGCTGGTCTGGCGGTGCACCTCTCTCTAAACATGGCGGCCATGCTAGTGACGACAGTCGTGTACAGTTTGAAATTGTCTGATGGAGTGGTAGCTCCGTATGAGTACACCAGAGAGGCTTGTTTGTTGAACTCTCCCGTCTCAATGTCGGCCGGTCTTTCGACAGAGAGGACACCTGTGTGCCACACAGGGAGTACAGTGTAGTGGTGTCAGGGTCCGGTTCCCACTCACAGAGACTGCCTGGAATGGAGACGGAGCCCTGGCCCACGTCGCAGTCCACCAGACACGGCTGGCGGCCGAGTCGTGCAGCGTACGACAGTAGAAGTCTACAGAGAGTGCTCTTCCCCACGTCAGTGGCTCCAGCTAACATCACCTGAGAGGGGGCAGGACTGCTCTCGGAAAGAAGAAACAGAATAAAAGCATGGCAATCATCGCTTTGTGTGTGTGTGTGTTTGGGGGACTGGGGGACTAACCCTCGGTCCAATCTGGCCCTCTTTCTCCCGACGATGTCGCAACTGGTCCACCGCTATGTGGGTGTTGAGGTACATGATCATTGGGGTCTCCTCGGAGATGTAAGCGACCTGGGGCTCCCCCTCCACGCGAACGGTGCAGCCGTGCCAGGTAAAGATGGCCAGCTTCATTCTGGGACACAGGGAGTAGCTCTGGTTCCTAGCCACCTCTGTTCCAAACACCTCAGCTGTCCCTCTCACCAACTGCAGCACACAGCCAGGGGTTCACACGTGCAGGGGAGTCGAAGTGGCGAACCTTGATGTCGATGAGAGAGCCCTCCTGGTCCGGCGCCTCCAGTCGGAGCTCCGTCTCTCTCTCCAGTGCCCAGTCTTTCCATTTCCTCGGAGGCCTCTCCCCTCCGTCCCCGCCTCCAGCTCCAGCTACCTGGTAGGACAGAGTCGTCATGGCATCACGAGCATGAGTATGTCAGTCAACTGTACAACCTACAGCTACAAACCTGTTGTTCGGCCGCCATGTCGTTATTGATATGCGCATGCGCAAACAATTGCACCGGTGTCGCGGTACATTTCATCCCCCCGAATTTTTATCCGGGCGGATAGGATATTCTATCCCCCCCGGATAAAATTTCCTGGGATATTCTATCCGCACCAGGGATATTTTATACCCCGTGCTGTGCGTTATTAGGAGTGTCGAAACGCAGGCGGGGTGTTATTTTGAGGTTCTGTGGGGATTTGAACGTTACAGAATGCGTTTGGAGTTACACCAGCGGACTGTAGAACACTACCGGATATCCCAGCGAGCGTGGAGCTCAGGTTCGCAGGTGAAGGCGAGCAGACCCGCGCAACCGCTGTGTCTCGAAGAGAAACAGAGTGCAGTCGTGCAGATTCAACTCTGTATGAGCAGCGACGGCGCCAACAAAATGGTCCCGCGCGTTTAGATGCGCAACCGTATGCGCATAAACCTTTCTTATTAGAGGGATAAAATATCCGGACCCGGGATATTCCACACTAAGAGTATTCTATCCGGCCGGATAGAATATACTATCCCCGGATAAAATATACGGGGGATAAAATATACTGTGACACCGGCTAGGCTAGCTAGAGCTACATAGCAAGACCAGAGATAGCTCAACGTTGATCAACTAGAGAGTCATCATGATAGTTTTCAAGCAGATTTGTGCCCTTTCCCTCGTGTTGCTAGTCGGTGGATGTGTCGGTAAACACACTACGTACAGCAAGTAGTCCAAGTAGCGCACCTGCAGAAAAGGGCGGGGCTGATGTATAGCTACACCCGATCTTGCAGGTCAGGATGTGTTTCTAGAGCGGCCAGTGAGCCAGAGAGTGGAGCTGGGTTCCCCAGCACGCCTTAACTGCACGGTCAACGGAACGCTGGCTACCTCTCCCGAGTGGCGGCTGGGTGGCTCCGCGCTGACCTCAGTTGCTGGTGAGGTAGAGGTGGAGGCAAGTTACCTGCTGCTGCCCTCGGTCCAGTGGAGTCAGATAGGAGAATACACTTGTGTCGTGACTGTGGAAGGAAACTCGTCCTCGGCTTCAGCAACCGTCAATATCACAGGTAAAGCACAGGAGGAGAAAGAATGCAGTGACTGTTGGATACGAGTGCATAGGATATGTAAAGCCGTTCGTGGACGCCACGGAGGGAGTGAGAACGATCAATCACGAGATAGGAGAAGAGGAGAAGATAGAGTGTCCCGTGGCTGGGTATCCTGGACCGAGCACGCTCTACTGGGAGTCCTTGGACAGTGAACAAGAGTGAGTGTAGTTGGTTGTTAGGAGGAGATGGGTCAACTCTGTTTCCTTTCCTACACATGTCGGACAGTGTGACTGGAGACACAAGTGTTGAGACTGGAGTGTTTGTGGATGAGAATGGGAAACTGGATGTGTCCAGAGTCCAGGAAGCTGGCAGCGAGCTCTTTGCCTGTGTTGGAGTGGACGCTGCAGGGAACTCAGCAAGAACTCGTATCAGAGTAACATCAGTCTCCTCAGAACAAGGTGGGGTCCTCGAAGAGAGAGACTGAAACGTACTCTTCTCCTTCTCTTGTCAGAGGAGAAGGAGGAGGAGATAAATCTGGTGGAGTGGTATTTCATCCTGGCATACAGTGTGGGTGGAGTGCTGGTGGTGGTGGGAGTGGGAGTGGTAATGTTTGCCTGTGGACTCCACCACGACCAGTGCTGTGAGAAAGTGGCTGAAAAGAGAGCAACTCGCTTGAGGGTCAGAAGATCAAAGGTTGCACTCGGTAAAATTCATTGTTATCGTCACTGAATTGAATGTTATTTTTCTTGCTCTCTACAGGTGATATGAAGGTGTAAGCCTTAGCTCTACACTTTTTTAATTGCTGTACATTGTGAAGCATAGATTTTGTACAAAGAGAAGGCAAGCACAGTGGTGGTGGGAGGGGCTCGCGTGTTATGAGCTATGAGCATGAGCATTAAAAAATGGAGGCGAAGGTAGAAGTGAAGAAACCAGCTTTACCTTTGTACGTGGGCCTGGATCTCAGCACCCAGCAGGTCAGTAGCTACACGTCATATCCAGTCCATCTATGGACTCGTGTGGCTATCAATCAGCTGAAGGTAGTGAGTGTGGACGAGCGGCTGAGAGTCACCCACGAATTTCACGTCGTCTTAGACGAGTTGCAGGAGTTCGGGTACTGCTGAACTCTCGCTCTAGCTGTTCAGGAGTGAATTCTGTGGCTGCAGGACAGTCGGTGGTGTGCTAGAGAGTGAAGATGGAGTGACAGTCACATCACCTACTCTCCTCTGGGTCAAAGTAAGTCCTATTCACTGGTATTGGGCAGTGTACTGAGCTGATCACACAGGCAGTGGACGTGCTACTGAGCAAGATGCAGGAGGAAGGGTTTCCCTTCTGTCGGGTGGTAAGTCTGTCAGGGAGCGGGCAGCAGCACGGCAGTGTTTACTGGAGAGAGGGGGCAGGAGAAATCTTGACTCATCTCCAGCCCAGCCTCAGTCTACACGAGCAACTCCAGGTGAAATATGACTGCTGCAAGCAGGAGTCATCAATTCTTTCTCTCACAGGACTCATTCTCCCTGGACCAGAGCCCCGTGTGGAAGGACTCCAGTACAAGTCAGCAGTGCAGAGAGCTGGAGGAGGCTCTTGGAGGTCCTCTCTCTCTAGCACACGTGACTGGGTCCCGGGCTTACGAGGTGAGGCTGGGAGAGATGGACTAGCTGACGTTTTGTTGCCTCTGAAGAGGTTTACAGGCAACCAGATCGCCAAGATATTCCAGAGGAAGGAAGGAGTGGAGGCCTACAAGGAATTTGACAGTACTGAGGTGAGTGGTGTGTGGTAGGGCTCCTCCTTGAGTTGTCATGTGACTGCTGCAGAGAATCTCATTGGTCAGCAGTTTCCTGGCGTCTCTCTTCCTGGGCCGGTATGCCAGTATTGACTATAGTGATGGTAGGCGGAGTTGTCACACCAGCTGTAAGTGAAGGGTGTGTTTCCATGACCACAGGATCTGGTATGAACCTGCTGGACATCGCACACAAGAAATGGTCCTCAAAGGCACTGGAGGTGAGCATTTGCACCACAAAATCTTCCACCTTTTCTCTGGATTGTAGGCATGTGCACCAGGCTTTGATCTGGAGGCCAGATTAGGTGACCCCGTGACCTCCAGCTCTGTTCTGGGTCCAATATCTCCGTACTACGTGGATAAGTTTGGATTCTCTTCCAGCTGTCAGGTGGTGGCCTTCACTGGAGACAATCCTTGTCAGTTCACTATCTGATCCATTACCTGTTCAGAGCCACTTCCTGTAGTCAGTTGGTGTTCTTTTCCCACAGCCTCTCTTGCTGGCACGAGGCTCTCTGCAGGAGATGTGACGGTGAGTACCATCAGTTTTTTTAGGGGTCTCACCCTATCGTGATGACCAGATAAGTCTTGGTACCAGTGACACTGTCACCTTCTGGACCAGCTCGGCTCAACCTCAGCTGATGGGCCACGTTTTTGTGAATCCAGTGGACGACTCTGCCTTCATGGCAATGCTCTGGTGAGTCGCCACAGTAAACTATAATGGAGGATGGAGGATATAACTATGCTGGTGTGTGTGTGTGTGTGTGCTGTAGCTACAAGAATGGGTCAAAGACAAGGGAACTGTTTCGTGACCGACACACCAACAACAACAGCTGGAAGGCAAGTTGCACAGTGTCAGCCTTGAAGAAAAGTTGTGCTAATTTTTTATTCAGGAGTTTAATCATCTGCTGGACGAGACTGAAGCAGGGAACAGTGGAAATATTGGGATCTACTTTGCAGAGCCAGAGATCACTCCCACAGCAGGCACAGGGGAGTACAGGTGGGACAGGAGTGGAGCTCCAATCACAGAGTTCCCTCCAGAGGTGGAGCTGCGGGCTCTGGTGGAGGGTCAGTTTATGGCAAAGTGGGTGCATGCCCAGAGACTGGGTCACACTATCACTGCCTCCTCCCGGATCCTTGCAACTGGAGGAGCCTCGGGGAACACAGCTATTCTGCAGGCAGGCCCACTCTCCACACAACTGCCAGTAGATGATGGTCCTCATAGATTATTGCTGATATCTTCAATGCTGATGTGTATGTGCAAGAGGAGACAGCCAACTCGGCTAGCCTTGGAGCTGCCTACAGAGCCAAACACGGTGGGTGACTGTTTGCATGTGTCTGGTGAGTGAATTCACTGTACCCTCTGTTCCCTCCCACATCTTGTGTGGCCTATCGACTATACATTCATGTACATGTACAGCTCTAATGCCAGCTGGAACGCAGTTTGCTGAGGCAGTGCAGGATGCTCCAGAGTTCACTAAAGCTCTGTCTCCCAGACCACACCTACACTTCCAGGCAAACCTCACCACATTTCACCTATAATATTATAATATCTGTTAGCATTACCCTCGGCGCGCATGCGCAGCGAGGGTACTGTAGTTGGGTTTGTTACTCTCAATCTCACTTCTCAGGTGTCTGTTCGTCCCAGAAACGATACCATCTACCCAACGGGCGACGAGGGTCAGAAAATATGTGGGGGTTTCTCTGAAAATGATCCATTGCAGAGCTAGAGCGCTTCCAGCATTGTACGCGACGGCTAATGCCGGTAGTCGCCATTTTATCGCTGGCGGATAATGCGCATGCGCTTATATTTAGCACAGGGTCCGCTTGCTCTGTCTATCTTGAAGGCACAAAAACTCACAACGAATGGCGTGTATCGACTCTCGCGTGCTATCTACTACTGTAGCTAGCCCGTGTCAGACTCTCTGCGAGCTACTTCGCCGAGGGTTTGCACTTTAGTGCTTTTCATTTACACTGTTCCCACCCGGTACCCCACTCAAGTAAGTGGTATGTGGTCTGATGGATCGTGAGGTCCCTGGTTCGATCCCGGGAGGTGTGCGCCTTTTTTACAATGATGTAATAGGAGTGTTGGGTATAACTGGAACGTTTTTTCATCACCTCTCAAGGCCAGCCTGAGTGGCTAGGTGGTTAGAGTCGTGGGGAACGACACCATAGGTGCGGGTTCGTATCCCGATCCCGCACTAAAATGTCAGGTGGTCCAGAGCATTGGCTGGTTCCTCCCCTTACCCACAAATCTACCACTGACCCACGTTTCTCAAAGGGCAGCGTATAGTTCGGCATAGCACTGCGTCCGTAGACGTCTGTCTGGAGAGATGAAGGACTGGCCGTTTAAAACTTTTTTTTCAACCTTGGGTTTTTTTTGGTGTTTTTTTTGCACTAAACAATCCACGGGTAATACGAAAATTAGTAGAGAGAGGAAAGGTTGGCAATTTTTCAACCTTATATATTTTTTTGCCCTCAGGCTGGCCATTTTGAAAATAATCCATGGAAATAGTGCATAACATGCTGTTCTTTTTGATGCATGGTCAAGACCATCAATTGTAGTGGTGCCACACTTGTGTATGGGTTCCACAGCGTGCCGAGGGTTTGCACTTTAGTGCTTTTCATTTTGCAGGTGTATCAGCCACTATGTAAACGTTACGCGATGCTGGAGTCATCGATCAGTTCATGAAGAAATTTTGTTCTGTATAAGATTAAAATAACTTATAATGAATCATTGTTCTTTGCTCATGATAATAATATTATACAAGTTCTCTTTTGTCTTCATCTCCTCTCTTGACTTTGCTTCTCCTCGGCTCTGCTCCGACTCCGGAAGTCTTGTCTTGAAACTCCACAAACTTGCTTGTCTTCTCTCCAGCTTCTCAGGATCCCCTCCCCCAGTACAATCCACAGCATCTCAGTTCAAGGCATCTTTTTACGTGTTATTTTAATGGCCCACCACCCTCCCTCCTGATTCCCCCTCCAATCAGGAGCAATCAGGAACCATTATAATCTTCGGCCTAATAAATATTTTAGAGGCGTGGCCTAATAAACCGAGATCCCACCACCTCCCGTACAGGCATTCATGGTGGACTCAGGAATGCCTGCACATCAACAGAAAGCATACATAGAGCAAAGAGAAAGAGCAGACACAAAAGACGAAGGAACGAAGAGAACAAGCAGAAAGTGGCACAGTAGGTAGCAGAGCGATAATCGTACCAACCGAAGACTTGTGATTTGTCCAAAAAAATGGCGGTTGCTTTCTGTGACCATGACAACACATGTTGCATGCAGTTTATAATACTTCACAAACCCAACAACTCCTTTGGCTTCTGATATCTGTTTCACTGCGCACCGCACACACCGACTGTATTTTGCACCTTGGAATCAACCCTGTTTGATATAATGCTCTTCACACAAGTTCCATAACACCCTGCTTGGTTTTTGCATTATATTCCGCACAACACAGCATTGCCATACCAGTGGGTACATACTTTCTGGACATCACCCAACTTCACATCACCAGTGGTTCACACCCAACTTCACATCCCCCTGCTAACACCAGTGGTTCACACAACAATAATACTCAGGTCCATACCACCTCCTTGGAACCACTTTGATCTTCTAACACCGTACATAACGTAGATCACACTGATTTTTGTTGATCACCTGCGACACACTCGTGAGGGCAACAATACAGACACACGTGTCATACCACCATCCACACTCAATTCTTCAACCATCGACGTTGCATTGTCAGTGTCTCTATCGAGTTTGGGAGCGACTTGAACAGTAGACGAGCTCTGGTTTTGAAATAGCAGCACACAAGGTTGGACATACAGCAGAGAAGGTCCGAGTTAATGGCCCACCACCCTCCCTCCTGATTCCCCCTCCAATTAGGAGCAATCAGGAACCATTCTTCGGCCTAATAAATATTTAGAGGCGTGGCCTAATAAACCGAGGTCCCACCACCTCCCGTACAGGCATTCATGGTGGACTCAGGAATGCCTGCAAACTACCTTATCAACAGAAAGCACAAGAAATGTAGCAATTTACCAAGACATTCAGAGACCGACCAGATTGGAATCTTTTGTGATAACACCAAAGGCAGTAAGAAAATAACCCTGGACAAAATTTTGCAGAACATGTTGCATCGCACAGATATACCAATACATAGTAGGCCATGATGACATTGCGACTTGTTGGTTTGGATGTGGCAGCACGTTAAACCATACCATATCGTTCTCATTTGTACTATAACAATTTGGCTCTACTTGTGTCGCAGGCAGCGCTCTGGGTGACTGTGCCATAGTCCATTGTTGCAGGTGCTCTGGTTTGGAATAGCAGCACACATTTGTCGGGCATGCATCAAAAATGTAGGTATTGACTCTCAACCAACATCAATCGTCTATTTTAGATATTTTGGGCCCTTGAAACAGGTAACAGACAACCCTCTCCAGCAATAAGTCGAGGACAGGCCATTGATTACTGAGCGCACAACTACACTTGTTCAATCAATCCATTTCCTAACATTCTTTAGACACATGATTCAATAATACCTTTCCAATAGCTCAGATTATTTCTACTTGGAGGGTGTGGTGTGTGGAGGGCAAAGAAAGGTCTTTGACTCTAACACTCCATGAGGGAAAAACCAGGATTTCCTAGCAAATTTCTTCAAGAGTCCTAACTTGATGTTTTGGGGGGAGAGCTCCATATGGCATACACATCACCATAATTATTACCTTCAACCACACTACAGGAATAGGGATTGTGAGAAACTGGCTTGGCTGGGCTGGGCCACATTGACTTAGCGTTCTGTGAATAATGACTCGGGCTGATATGTGACACTATGGAGGTTGTGTACTTCACGTTTGCATGGTTGGAGAAAAAAGCAGGTTGCATACATATAAAATAGCTTTTACCAAAGACTCAAAAGTGGCGACCAGAGATTGGGATAGTTTTACCAAAAGAACTGAGCTCTGTCCTAGATGTTGTGTAGTGAAAGAGAAACGCAGGTTGCATACACACAATGATTCTATTTGATTGCGTGCGAGAAAATCAACGACCAATTCATTACGCGAGTATTAGCTTTCAACTGCTTGTCCTAGACATTGGATTGGGGTATGAGTAGGGAAGAGAGACCAGGTTGTGCACAGAAACAAAGAAGAGTCCATGGAACAAAGGTACATAAACGGCACCATCATGTATAGCAGAGAAGAGATTTTATTGCTTGCAAGATTTTGGTTTCTCATGCCGATCCCAGAACAACAGTGGAATGAAGGTTTGAAAGAGAGAGGCAGCAGGCACTTGGACACTACATCACTTTGAACTTTGACTCCCTAATGATAGCACGTGTGGAGAGAGGAGATGCAGGTCTGCATACACGTCATACACTGTTAACCTGACCCGTTTAGCAACCCGGGAGAACGGGGAATTGGACTCACAAAACATGAGAAAAACAGGAAAATCTTCCAAAAATAATACTGCATGTTGCATACATACGGCAATGCATATACCACTTTCGTACAAACGACCACATTGACACTTAGCAATCTTTGACCTCTGGTCTCGCGATACTTCGGAATGTCCAGTAAAATCTTCCTAACATGATGTGATAAACTGCATGTTGCATACATACGGCAATGCATATACCACTTTCGTACAAACGACCACATTGACACTTAGCAATCTTTGACCTCTGGTCTCGTGATACTTCGGAATGTCCAGTAAAATCTTCCTAACATGATGTGATAAACTGCATGTTGCATACATACGGCAATGCCTATACCACTTTCGTACAACGACCACATTGACACTTAGCAATCTTTGACCTCTGGTCTCGCGATACTTCGGAATGTCCAGTAAAATCGTCCTAACATGATGTGATAAACTGCATGTTGCATACATACGGCAATGCATATACCACTTTCGTACAAAACGACCACATTGACACTTAGCAATCTTTGACCTCTTGGTCTCGTGATACTTCGGAATGTCCAGTAAAATCTTCCTAACATGATGTGATAACTGCATGTTGCATACATACGGCAATGCATATACCCACTTTCGTACAAACGACCACATTGACACTTAGCAATCTTTGACCTCTGGTCTCGCGATACTTCGGAATGTCCAGTAAAATCTTCCTAACATGATGTGATAAACTGCATGTTGCATACATACGGCAATGCATATACCACTTTCGTACAAACGACCACATTGACACTTAGCAATCTTTGACCTCTGGTCTCGTGATACTTCGGAATGTCCAGTATAATCTTCCTAACATGATGTGATAAACTGCATACGCCACCTTTGACACGAATGATTTTTGCACGACCACACACTGATACTTGGCAATCTTTGACTCTGGGTCTTGCAATATTCCAAACCAACTGTGTAACTGGCTGGCACCCAGGATGGGTTGTATGAACACTCCGCAGTCCGCACCATACTCAATACAGCTGTTTCAATCTACACTCGGAGGGAGGAGCCAGGTTGCACTGACATAGACAATACCTGTCTTTGAACGCGGCACGGTGGTGACTTGAATCCCTTATTTTCCACAGTGTGCAGCTTGGTCCTAGCATAGCATTACTGAGAGAGGCACAGGAGGTTGCATGCACACCAATGACTCTACCACAACTTCAAAATCCATCATTGTACACTTTGTGCGCTCCATTGCTAACATGCTCTTTTAAACACAGACACTCCGTACATTGAATACCTGATCACTAATACATCAACATGTATCATGCCATATCCATACTTTCACGTGAGGGGATTTGCACCGTAACACAATCGCTGTTTCTTTGTGAGGCAGCACTCTGGCTGGTTGTAGCTAGTCCGCCGGTGCTCTGATTCGGAATAGCAGCACACATTTGTCGGGCATACATCAAAAATAGACGGCAAAAATCATTTCTTGGGCCTCTTGGGCTGAAAATCACACGATATATACACACTAGTCTTGGCACAGACAGAACACGCAGGTCGCCCCTAACTTTTGGACACTGCACACAGAGGGGCCTAGTAGTTCAACTTCCTAGAGAGAGAGTAAGCTTCCTTGGCAAAGCAAGGGCAGGCCAATCTAACAGACACTGTGCTAACTAAACTCCAGTCAACTTCCTAACACTAACACGTATACTTTCTTCAGACTGACCATCCACGCTGACAACACATCCACAAACACTGCTCCAATACCTCTTGCAGTTGTATTACACACAGGAGGATCACCCACAAGAATTCCCCGACACTTGACTGGCACGTTACATTCTGCCTATTATTAGAGAGAGGACATTACTTTGCATACACCAATACATTACGGCGATCCACTGGCACGGGCGAAGTTGACTTTTTTTAACACCACATTTGAAAATGCTGTACATGGGATGGCGAACCACTTGGGAGCAAGAAGAGAGATGGGGCATGGATGGGACCTAGGACCTCAGATGGGGAGACGATATGGAATACAGTATACACCAACTTCTACCTGTTACCACTTCCGCTGCTAGAGGACCATTACACAACTCCCACATTGTTGGATGGTTGGCTGGGGGGGGGGCACAGGCTACAAAGGCACTCTGAAGATAACTGGTCTTATAACTCCACATACACGTCCTTGGTAGTCCTAGTTTGAAGCTTGGGGGAGAGTTCTATGTAGCATACACACCACCAAATTACCTTCAACCACACTACAGGAATAGGGATGGTGAGAAACTGGCTGGCTGTGGAACTTATTGGATTTGACAGCTTCCGAGACTCAGAGCTCTGGCTTACAAACACTTTGATGCTAACAGAGAAGTAGTGTCCTTGAAGCGGTGTTTGGAGAGAGAAAACCATGTTGCATACATACACAATAGCTTATACTACACGCAAAGGGTGATCGGGAAAAAGGAAATGTGACAGTAACGTCAACTGAGCTCTACCGATTGCAGATGAAAAGTTGGATAGAACAATGGTTTTCACGAAGGCTTGGTCCTACAATGCTGTGAGGCTGGCAGAGAGTAGGTTGCACGGTGAAAGACAATGAAATTGAGCACATCAGGCTTGGCATAGCGAACATAGTCCAGTGAAAAAGAGTGTGATATTCCTTGGCTTAACACAGAGAGAAAACAGCACGCTTCAGGCCATGGTGACACAGTGAAAGAAAACGAAATTGAGCACATCAGGCTTGGCACACTTCAGGCACACACCAGTGATGCAACAAAGAGACTGATAGCTCCAGTTCACAAACGGACGAGTAACAATTGAAACAGAGATGAACTGGGTTTTCACGAAGATGAGAAATTGAAATTCTAAAAATCCCATACGCTATTTTTGTATGTTGAACACACGTGTAGTCTTTTTGTGTAAGTCCTACCACGTTAGAGGTTTAGTAAGTCCTACTTGCTTTCAGGGGAGAAGCAGCATATGTTGCATGCACTACAACACATAGATTTTTAGCAGCATTTTACTTCGTTTGTGACATACCACTTCGCAACATTTTTTTCTATCATGGTGATTCGGGGAAGAGGGGTACGCTTGAATAGCACGGTAGCACGTGAGCCGCTGACAAGTCCTAGTCACTTTCAGGATCAGAAGAAGGGCACAAGGTTGTATGCATACACAATACCTTACGTTTTAGACAATCGACACGGTATATATGTTGCTCAGCATGTTTCATACCGTCCTCACAATCGCATGGCCTCTACTGTTGCACATCCAGGGAAGATGATCACGTGATTCACACGGACAGGTACTACTAGCTTTCAGGACAGAAGGCACAGGTTGCATGCATACACAATACTAACCTACTGCCTATGACACAATTTGACACGGTACTAGATTGTGGAAGTATACGCATACCATCTTTTATACATCTCGCATCCTCCAATTTCATTCTTGGTGTAGCACGCTCGGCAACGGTCCCAACACATGAACAGGACCTGGCCACTTTCAGAGAGAAGGCAGGTTGGAGGCACACACAATACTATCTACTGCTTTAGACATAATCTGACGTTGAGGCTGGTATTGCGTCACTCGCAGAGAGGAAAGCGCGGAAGAGAATTCCAGATCAAGTCTTTGTTGTTACACACAGAACACCTGACAGCCCTAGTTGCTTTTACGAAATAAGCAGCACATGTTGCATGCACACACACAGTACCATTCAGATTTGGAGTTTGTAAACACAAAATTTGGATTTCATACCGTCTTGTCACCAGTTATGTCTAGCATTGTTCGTTCGGGAAGAGGGCACTCTGTTATTCACCTCTGGTATCGTGACGTGATTCACTGACAATTCCTATTTGCTCAAGGGAGGGGGGGCATGGTTTGTATGCACACGCAATACTATTTACGGCTTCCTCAGACAATTGACCACATAGCCTGTAACAACTCGAGATTACTTTCATACCATTTTTTCGTAGCTCCCTAATATTCCCAGCTCCGCTCGGGGAAGTTGCTGCACTTTTAGGAGAGGGCACGGTTGTATGCATACACACTATACCATTTACTCCTGAAACACGTTTGACATCGTAAAAATACACATGGCATACCGCTTTCCATGCCTGTTGCCTTCCATTCCTAGGTAGCACGTTTCGGCTTTTGGCACATTTCATTCTGGTTTTCATGACTTTTGATAGAATTCTGGTTTGTCTCGCACTACAGCTCTTATGGGAGAACGCACAGGTTGTATGCATACACAAATATTGGATAATACCACTTTTCACATATGACTTCATTCACAGTTCATTTGGTATCAATTACACACGATCCAACAGATGTTTTGGGAGGGAGCATGCATACTTTATACAGAGAATCGAAAAGCATCTACCTTTGCAAAATACCCATTGAGAATTTGGTCCTAACACTTTCAGGAAGACACAGGTTACACACATTCACAAATGATCAAACAAAACATTGCCTGTGAGGCCTTCATTGAGAAAATGCAGCTTTATGTAAGTCACCCTTCCACACTGCTATATTTAGAAAACCTTCCTATTGGGCCAGGTGTAAGGCAATTACGTAGAGAGAGAGAGAGAGCTGTGGTTTGCGGCCTGGAGCAGGTGGGCAGGAGTTGGGGGTGAGGTAGGCAGGCATAGGACGAGGTAGGCAATAGCAGGAGGAAGGGGAGGTAGGCAAGATGAACAGGGCAAGGTTGAGCAGTCCAACATGGGTGTGAGAGGATTTCTGGCTTGGGACAAGAAGTGCATGTTTGCATACACAGACTAACTACTTAGACTCTAGAGCAAGGACTATACAACAGATACCATACTCATTCCTTCTCATAGCAAACACCTGGAGTACTTTCAGGAACCTGGCACAGGACTTCTAGGGGTATCTCCGGAAGTTACTCTATTGATGATGAATCCTTTCGGCACGGAAACTCGCGTGTTGACGACACTGTGAAACGCAGCGGAAAAAGAAGCAAGCTCAGGACATTCCTAGCACTATTGCATCACAGCGGAAGTGCGTCCACCACACTTCCCCTGTGATGCAGGAAACCACCATACAAGGCGCTGTAATTGCACGACGGTAAAGCAAGGAGGGCGCGGTGTGAAGCGACGACGCGCGACCATAGCAGGAAATGGCTGTGTTCGCCAGCAGTTCCGTCAGGAAAAAGAAGGGCGCAGCGGTTGGTCGGAGAAGATGAATGGCCAGGAGGTTGACAGGAGACCGTACCGTCCGCTCACGAAATTCCATTTCTCTTTCGCATCCCACCTGTAGAGAGAGCCGTACAAACAGCACGTACTTCAACCCCACACGCGAACGGGAAGTCCCGCTAACGTTTACAGGACACTTGACCCAAAAAACGTTTCTACGCGTCCGCGGCGGCACATCAGCTCGCAACATTTAGGACAACTCACTGTTTACAAAGCGGTGGTGACCATAGGGGGCAGGCGTTCGGCAGGCGTTGGGCAGGCGTTCATTCAGACAGCGAAGTCGAAGTCGAAGTCGAAGTCCTCCTCGGTCCTTCCTCGGTCCTCCTATGCGGCGGTGAATGAGCAACAATGGCGTCGGTTCTCTTTTATAGACCAGCTCGCCTGCGCGGCAGTTACGACTGGAAACGTCCGGAACGCGTCACTCAAACCGGTTTTACCCGTCCTTGACCGGTTGTGGGGACGTTTATCAACATTCCAATCTATAAACCCCGATTGCGAAATTCCTATGACACCCACCCGGGGTCAGAGTTCAGGGGGAAATTACTGGGTGCGGCTTCTCCGTAGACGCAAAGGGGAAGGGCTAAAGAGGGACAGTAGAATGGTTCGATTGTACGCCATTAGCGTGTTCTACAAGCCAGATCTCTCCAAGGCTATAGAGAAGAAGGCGGCCTATGAGCTCTCCTCTTTCGGTTTCTTCAATCGCTCCAGGTTGGACTTGCAAGAATGTCGATGGTGCGCTCCTATTGGAATAATGTTTCTCTGTCCGTAGTGTGAGGGAGTTCATGGCCTTTACTAGTGAAGTATTGGCCCAGAGGACGAGCACTGGAGAGAGGAGGACAGTGAAAGAGCAAGGTAGTCTAGCAAGCCCACATGTACAACACAATGGGGTCTCTACATATTATACAAACATCATGTACTCTTTGTCTGCATTTCCCCATGCACTGTGGCAGAGTACAGATGTCATGTGTATGTGAGGTCAGACTGCCTGGCCTGTGTGGTGATAGCAGACAGTGACTATCCTCCCAGAGTTGTGTTCACCCTCATGAGCAAGGTCTATACTCACCTCTAGAACACACACACCACGCCAGCGGGCGCACCCACACTCACACAGGGCAGCTGTTCTCACTATAGAGTCTGCTGACTGGCCCTGTGTGACCAGATCAGCTTCCATTGTGTGGTGCTGTGTTGGCATAGTAATAATATGTAGAGCACCATGTGTAGGTACACCGGCTCCCTATTAGCTGACGGTGCACCGTGATCATCATCTATCACTGTTTTCTCAGGTCTTAGAAATGTTCTCCTCCGACTTTCCCCAAAGCTCATGGAGTCAGAAGTCAAGGTAGACAATAGACATGACATCAGGATGTTTTTACCTAATGCAACAAGATGTGGTTACTTACACTACCTGGTGCATTACGCACTACCTGTTGCGTTATGTGATGAGGTATCCTCTGGGGAATGTTCCCTTGTTATGAAATGATGTACGAATGTGCATTCCTTGTTGTGTAGTGACCTGTCCTATCCCCCTCTGACTCT